CTGGTACCCAGTTTTAGGCTGGGTCGAACTGTGATGCCCCATACCATGATAAACATCTACGCATCCAGCAGTCAGTTTCGATCCCGGTACGTTGGAATTGGGAGTCGGACTTGCAACGCCTAAGCCAAGGTCGCGGCTTTTTTAAACTCTCTGAGTCCCAAATAACGCATAGCGTGTGGATCAACATGTCTGCCGAATGCCAGCGTTAACGTAATATGCTCTCTTACTAGTGCATTTAGTCAAAGCTCACTTAGGAATTATGCTTGTCCAATCTGGTAATCTGGTTATGACTACTACTGTTCGACCACTTTAAAGGTAATCCTCTGGTGACTTGTGTTCAACGATACATCTTCACACTGCCATCTCCAACGTAACCTTTCCTGGTGCTCACAGAGTAAAACATGAACTACTGATTATTTTTTTTCCAGCCCCTCACAATTCGAGTTAAGTCTATCTACCTTCTTTTACCCACCAGGACATCAAACAAGCGATAAACACACGATGACACAAAGTGCCATCATGTGGATGTGGATCACCCGTGGAAAGGTCCCAGAAACCGCGTTCAGCCATTAGACCATGTTTATGTCCGGACTATATTGCGGCCCCTGGCAAGAACCAGCGAAAAAAAAAATGAAAAATTCATACTAAAAAGGATGATAAAATGACCTATTCGAGTTAAGTACGTGTTGGCTATATAAAAGAGTTGACAGGACAATGATTGCCCAGAAAAATTGGGATCTGGCTGGACATGCTTCGAAACACGAACAATCAAATTCCACCGCTGATGATTGACAGACATATGGAAGGGAGTTAGGAAGAAAAGGGGTTGGGGGAGGGTGTGTACGCATAGTTAAAATTTGAAACTGAATGTCAAATCCACTAGGAAGCTATAACATTCTGCATCATTACACTGAAAAGAGGCGACGGAAAACAAACTGTAGCATGTCATAGACTGGAAGTCTTCTGAACTATGCAAACATCTAAGATCTTCGATCACCTATGATCTCCCTAATCTATGCAAGGTGTGAGGTTATTAAAGAGACAGTGATGGCTTCAAAAGGACTCGGGGAAATTCTGCCTGCAACCAGTTTCGACCTGTATGGAACTGCTGTATCCAAGTACACGGTCGTGGAAACCTGTGTTGAATTATGTTTATCACCACCCTTGTGTCATGGTTGTAGTCTATGATGTCCTGGGCGTTGCAAAGGCGCTCTGTGATGTCAAAGGGGGGGGGGGGTTGATGGTTCGATCCCAGCTGTAAGCAATTTGGTAACAGAACGTCTTAAGTTGGTTTTGATAGTTGTACCAAGAGCCGAACGTCTAGAGAGCAATGGCAAACTACTGAACGTAAGACGTGCCTAGAAAACAGTTACACAAACGCTGCTGTTGGTTCTGAAACGTCGTGCAAATAATAAACTACGTGTCCTGTCAATGAAAGTATGCGACGAACGCCATCCTACACAAATGTCGAAATACTGGATTAGGTCAGTGCTCTTGCTGCACACAATCGCCCCCATGTGGGTTTCGGGGCCCTTTTATATAGGGGCAAAAAGGAATAGACCCACTGCCTACCCACAGGCATGTCGAAAGAGTCGACTAATCGTGAGCTTCCTTTAGAGTCGGAGTGCATCTGCCTTAGAGGCAAGGAACCAACAGTCTGCATACAAATGAGAGATCTGTAAAACGGATGCACACGCAACACTCAGGTTCTGAAATAGGACTGCAATCCAAAATTGGATGAACAACCAGAACTTTCCGCCAGAGTTTACAGCTGGTGAATGCGAAGAAAACGAAATATATATATATATATATATATATATATATATATATATATATATATATATATATATATATATATATATATATTTTTTTTTTTTTTTTTTAAATCCTAAATAAATAACATATTCTCTTGAGGACGTCGCCCAACAATTTCAACATTTACTTCCTGCATTTGTTTTAGCTAAAATGCGATAGAAAGATTCACAGAATACCATGGACAAAGAAAAGAAGACATACTGACATTTTGAAAGATTTCAACATCAAGGAAGACTGGCTAGCATCTTGTCTTTGGAAGCTCAAATTTGTGTTCATATCAGCGCCATGGAGGAGTAAAAAAAAAAAAAATTAGCAGAATACACGGTACCAGGAAGGAGGTACAGGGGCCGACCAACAGGAAGATGGGCAGTGGATATAAGTGACTCCGTGAATATAAAAGTGCATACATAAAGCGGCAGAGCTGGGAGAGACCGAGTTTCTTTCAGGCAGACAGTGATGGGAGCGACGTTCTGCAAAGGACCTGCTACACAATGATGATGTCTGGTTTTGCTAGGCGATTTTACGTTTCCTGGTTAGCCGTTTTTGATTCCGGAAAAGTACAAGGCTAATAAAGTAAGCATCATGTTCCTTACTAGACAACGCAGAACAAATCACATTATTTAATGGCTGTATGTGATTTAACTAGCATTTTTAGTTTCAGTAATTTGCTATTGCTTTCTAAACG